GGTAGAATCGCCCTTTAGTCATTTCCTGATTCGGAAACCAATTTCAGCTTCGTGTTTGTATCTACAACAAATTTCTAATAATTTTTTTAAAAGTGTTCTTTTATGCTTTTATTTTTGAAGAAACGCAGACCGCTTCCGGTTGCTTTTGTTTACATTCGGGTCAGTAGCTGAATGTAGCAGTCGGACCTCCAAGATTGAGGACCTGGCATCCAATTCGTCCCTCTACACGTAGCTGAAGGTATTCTGAGAGCCCCCAAAGTTTTTCACGCAGGGCGTTAAGGTGTTTTTAGGACAAATAAGTGCCGAAGTTTGGACATTAGCCAAGGTACGACTGTTTACTCTTCAGAAGTTTAGAAATGTGATTGAAAGTTAGTGACCTGAATAAGCTTTTATTAAGTTGAAATAACAACAAAGACATGTGTTTTCAACTCAGTTTATAGCTAACTTGGTTAAATTGTAGCTGTAGTAAGTGTAAGCTATTTGTGTTGAAGCGCAGTGTTGTAAGTCACATATTTTAATGCTCAGAACTTTAGCCTCAGTGCTTTAAAAACAGAGGGGAACAGATTATCTAAAAATTGTATTCAAGTAAGTGTAGCTGTACTTCAACATATTTTTACTCAATTAAAAGTAAAAAGTAGCCATCCAAGAAATGACTCAAGTAACGGTAAAAAAGTATTTGGTAAACAGTTTACTCAAGTACTAAGTAATTGATCAAATTATCAATCATTTAATATTTAAAAATTACATAAGACAGACCAAAATATAAAGTTAAGTGGAATTAATGACAATAATTCATATTTAATATCAAAAAATAGCTAAATCAAGTGAAAGAAAATTCTTCCAAAACAAGTACAAAACTTATGAAACTTTAACAAAAACTGCAGGTGTGTGTCCGTATATGGTGAATTTCTGGTTCAAACATGTTTTTCATTCAGTGGAAAGAGAATCCAGAAACTTTACTCAAGTAAGGTTAGCGATACTTCATAATGAAATTACTTAAGTAAAACGTACAGTGTAGTAAATTCTCTTAAAAGTTTTTTTTTTTTTCAAATAAGTTAATCAAGGAAATCTAATTGAGTAAATGGAGCTAGTTACTACCCAACTCTGTTTATAACATGATTAATGAAGAGTGAATAAAGTAAATGATTTGTACATTTCACTAAGTCAAGTGAAACACTCCTCTGTATTATAAATTAAAAAGCTAAATTTTCACCTATTTCTGAAATCTGCTCTGCAAAAGTCAACAGCAAGTTCACTTTAAAATGTCAAAATATTTGACGGAACCTTTTGTGCATTTTGTTCCACAGCACAGATGTCCAATCAAGCCAGGCTGAGGCTGCTGCCCAGTGCCAGGTGTCTGTTCGATGAGCCCATCCAGTTGAAAGTGGCCGGTCTGAGATCCAAGCAGGTGGTCACCATGAGAGCCAGATCCACAGACGAGAAGGGAGTGGTCTTCAGCTCCTCGGCCACCTACAGGGCAGACGGCAGCGGGGAGATCGACCTGAGCAGAGACGCCTCCCTCAGTGGGAACTACGTTGGGGTCGAACCCATGGGTCTGCTGTGGTCCATGAGGCCAGATGTCCTGCACAAGAGGTTTCAGAAGACAAACGCCTTGAATCCCCATGTGGTGAACTTCTCAGTGCATGAAGAGGAGGGAGGGATGCTGGCTGAGGTGAAGAATGAGAGGTTTCTGATGGGAGACGGGGTCAGCCGAGTTCCCGTCAAACAGGGGAATATTCGTGGGGTGCTTTTTACTCCTCCAGGTTGGTCTTTGTTGCATTATCTCTGTTGAATTTGCAAAGTAATCTTGCTTTTAATGTTTTCTGACTAAAAATTTGAATAATATGGTTCAGTTTTGTTAAAGTTCAATAGATAATGTAGCAAAAGCAGCACATTTAACAAAAATGCACCAAGAAACTGGCTGGTTACCGAGATTGATTGTTTTATTTTTGGAAACGAAAAAGTTTTGAACTTATTCTGGGCACCTACTACATATAGTGAGCCTGTAGTATAAAGCAATATTAGTAGTTTATTGAGGTAACTTCAGGTCCTGAGTCTCCGGGATCATCATAGTAATTTTTACTGGAAACCCAGTAAAAATGTGGGGAAAAAAACCCCCAAAAACCTTACCAGATTTAAACCAGATAATCTTTGAGAAGAAATTTCTCCACAGAATTTATAATCCATACCTAAAGCAGAGAGGTTTGTTGCTCCCTCAGACTGGAATCAATAGCAAAAAGACTGAAAGTTGAAGCAAATACCATAAATGTTATTCAGGTATTACTGAAAATTAATATTATCAGTGCTGTTTCTATATCTTTTTCTGTTACAGCTGCTAAAAAATGGAATCATGTAATATTAGGATCAACAGAAGCTTAAAATTACAAAAAGTTTAGAAGTTGGCCACAAAATTATAAAATGAAAGGTCAAAGAAGTGGATTGTTTATTTTTCGTCAGGAGAAGGGCCGTTCCCTGCTGTGTTGGATCTGTACACGTTTGGTGGCGGTCTGTCAGAGAAAAGAGCCGCTCTGCTGGCCAGCCGGGGATTCTTGGTTCTGACGGTGGCGCTGTACGGTCACGACGACCTGCCCAAGAACATTAAAGAAGTCCATCTGGATTATTTTGAAGAATGCATCAAATTTCTAAAGAACCAAGATAAGGTCAGTTATTAAAACATTGATATTTTAATAACTTTAGCACCTTTGTCCTATACAGAAGAGGAAAAGAAACAATTCTGACTTTAATCTGAAAATTATTACTTTTCTCCCAGAATCAGAATTGTTTAATTTGTTTAATCACCATCAGGCAAACCTAATCTTAAAACTCGAATGTACCAAATAAATTTGGGACGAGCTTTCAGTGTGGATAAAGAGCAGGTTTACAAATCAACAAGTAAGAAACAGTTATGTGATTATATTTATGACATAACATAATGGGCATACACTTAAGAATGTTTGGTTATTTATTTGGATTTTGACATAGATTGACGCAGATTGAGAATTCTGAGTTGAAAGTCAGAATTCTTTGAAAAAAAAGTCAAAATTCTGAGGAAACAAAGCCAGAATCCTGAGATTACAGTTGAAATTCTGGAAAAAAAAAGAATTCTGATACTAATGTAAATTCCGAGATTAAAGTCGGAATTCTGAGATTGAATTCTGAGATTAAAGTCAGAATTCTGAGATTGAATTCTGAGATTAAAGTCGAAGATTTTTTTTGTTTTCTTTTGGTGACCTAATTTTCTTCCTTGGGTCTTTTTGGGTTGTTTTTGTGTTTACGTCGTTTTACAAATAATGCTGAGCTACCCCATGAGAAATATGCAAATCATTTTAATTTGACCTTGCCTGTTTTTCCCCAGGCGGGCAGTAATGGAGTCGGCATCATCTCCCTTTCTAAAAGTGGAGATCTCGCTCTGTCAGTCGCATCGTACCTCCCAGGAGTCCAGGCTGTCATCTGGATCAACGGCTGCTCCGCTAACGTAGCCTTACCCCTGTATTATAAGAATAGACAGATTCTCTCAGCATTGAAGTTTGACATGAACAAAGTGATTTCCACAGAGTCTGGAGCCCTTGTCACCAAATATGCCATGCATGATCCTCTGAAGGAGGAAAACAAGGCATCCCTGGTGCCTATCGAACGAGCAAGTGCACGTTTCCTGTTTGTAGCTTCAGAGGACGACTTGAACTGGGACAGCAAGGCCTACATGAACGAGATGGTGGACAGACTGAAGCGTCATGGGAAGGAGAACTTTGAGAGTGTGAGCTACCCTGGAGCCGGGCATTATTTAGAGCCCCCGTTTGGACCGTACTGCCCTTCCAGCTTCCATGCAATTGCAGGTGTGCCGGTCCTGTGGGGAGGGGAGCCCAAGGCCCACGCTGCTGCTGAAGTCCATCTATGGAGGAAGATCCAGGAGTTCTTCAGAACTCACCTAAGCTGTGACAAAATTCAAATTAAATCCAAGTTATAGTGCTGCTGTCCTTTAAACAAAAACAAGCAATTAACCTTAACTCAATCTATTTAAACTCATGTTTTTGAAAGCAGTTAAAAACCACTATTGTTATACCATTTAGAAAATAGAAATATTTCTGTAACCATAGAAATATTTCAGCAACCAAAACATAGAAAGTTTGTTACAATTTTATGTCAATTAGAAGAAAAATAGGTTTTATGTCATTTTCTACAGTTTTAATTCATGAAAGTTGTGGTTTTTCTGGAAGTGAAACAGGAGCACTGTCATATTGCCATAAAAATTAAAATTCTTGCAGCTTTTTAACTGAATGCTTGTTGTAACATTAATTGTAATAAAAACATTTTGAAACCTTATCATATGCTTTTAAATACATCTCTTCTCTAACACACTTGAAATATATTTTTAATTTTTTATCGCTTTCTTGGGAAAACACAATTTCTTGTATAGTTTATTACTGTTATTTTGTTAAATGATATTCCAATTTTCTGTATTACACTACGGTCCAGTAGGTGGCAGCAAATATGCCCTCAAAACGGAGGGTAAAAAGAAGAAGAACGTCGTGTGGACGGGAGTACTGACGTCACATCCGCCACATTGTTATGGTTGTAACCATAGATATGAATACGAATACGCATATGCGAAAACGGTTGTAACAGCCTTGTTTTGTTGAGTTTTGGGCTTCGTGGAGGAACACCGACATGCCCGGCCATCGCTGCTGCATTCACGGCTGTTCCAGCCGTTCACACGGTAAGAACGAAGAGAAATTAAACGACGGACTGCGTTTCTTCTGCTTTCCGAGGTGGAAAAACATGAAGACAAGCTTATGTCTGAGGTGACGAGGAGAAACCGAACGGCCTGGGTAACAGCAGTTGGAAGGAACGACGTCACTTTCGACTGCATTTTACCATCAAAAAGGGTCTGCTCCCTTCATTTTCATTCAGGTACGCTCTCGATTTAACACACACTAGCAAAAGTGACGTGTTGTTATACTGTGTACCATTTTCTATATGGAGACCCTGAACGCATCTCTAAAGATGCTGTTTTTTAAGCACAGTCAACAGGTTAGACCTCA